TATTGTTTACAATTAAACTTTAGTTAAAGACTCGATGTAATGTAAGCTAGGTTGTTAATGTCCAATTTCGCTTGCTCGAGAGTTTGTAAAAGAATTCCTCATCACCAGTTCGTCCAAGATAATATATATATATTGGTTGATGCCGTCAAGATAACAGGTATGCCCAAAAGACCCTTTGTCTATGGGGTTGGTTCACGTGTTGGGCTGTTTTGGTTATAAACAGCGAAAGTGTTTCCATTATTCCCTGTGACCTGTTACAACGGGTCGGTTGTTCGTTTTGATGTCTAAAATTATTTCCAATAATATAACAGAACTAAGCAATCATGCCCGCTGTCGCGCGCTCTGCCTCTAAGTGGGCGCTGTAACGCACAATAACATTCCCGTAGTCTTGGAAATGATCAATCGGTCCATCGACCAATAGGAAGACGAATAAAAGATTGACAATGAAAATAATCGATAAATCATATTAATCTATAATAATATAATAAAAAATGCCAATCTCCTTTATGATGAAGGATACTAGGTCCCTAAAGCGTGCGGCCGTGCATGGATAATTAGCGCTGTGGCGTTCGAAATGAATCACAATAAATATCTATGTGATTGATATATATATATTATATATAAAGCCATACATACCTATAGAGAAATTTGCCAAGAAATTGAGGGAAATCATTTCGTTTTGCTGCTCAGGTATATATATTAAACTTGGTACACAGTCAAGATACATACCGGTTTACTTTTGAAATTGATGATTCTTAATCATTGAATTTCACTGAATTTTGACGATAATTTACTGAAATTCATTTGGTGTATCTGTCTGGTCAGATTGTACTCAGTTGCCAAATGGTAAATGATTCAATATTCGAATTTGAATGCCTTTCATTTGCGGTTGTCACAAACTTCAGTGGATGAATCACTGACATTAGTAACGTAGAATATATTTTTTCTTCATTCAATCTCGTTAAGAAAAATCATTTGAATATTAATTCAGTGACGAAAATTAACTGAGAAGATCTCCTCGTTTTTTCGAATGAAAACCCCCTTGCTCTTTTAATATAAGGCATAATAGAAATATAATAAGAAAATTTGAAACGTTCAGGAAATTTTCGGGTCTGTCACCAAAAGAGTACGCGAAAGTTACGTTATTTTCTGAAGACTGTAAAATTTAACAGGAATTTCACGAATCATTTGTTGAAAAAGTTTTGCCTAACTTTTCGTAAATTTTACATATTTTTTCGAGTAATTTTTTTTGGACTTTTCTATATATAAATCTATTCCACGCACGCTTTTTCGAAAACTTTACATTACCTGCGTAATTCGCCATCTGCTGCACGGAATGATGCAAAATGCATTGCACTCAATTGAGCAAAAAATCCATTCATTGTTTTTCTTTCTGCTAGTACTCTCGTATATCGAAACAACGATGAATCTTTCGACGACTAATATTGAGTCTTATGGCAGTTTGCAATTTTTTTTAGTTTAAAAAATTGCACTGATAAGTTTTCTTTAAATTTTTTAAACTGTATATACAGATATTAAAGAACATTTTGTGCATTGAAAAATTTTTGATTCATGGGCTATAAATGTGAAAAGTAATTAGTTAAGTGTGAAATCAATTGATGTGGCAACAACGCTACTCAGGTTAGGTGAGCTGTCGTTGCAGAAACACAACAAACATCGAAACACATCAAGCAGTTGCGCAATGTTGTCAAACAGAACTACTGCGCTAATCAAAGCCATCAGTACTCTAACTTGACTCATGTTGTACCGAGAGTACTACCTTAATTCGTGCAGTTCGCGTATAAATAAGGGGTAACACTAGTTTAGTTTGGTGCAGGTACAATTAAAAATTTTCCTTGGCAGATACCCGGCCGTGTATCTCGAATGCCCGATTAACAATAGCAATGACAGATAAGAGCTAGATGACGCCAGCAAGACGACGAAAGTGTACAGAACCAATATGATCGTTAGCATTCTTAGATATAACATGTAAACAATTATGTGAACCTAACAACTGTTTATGGTTAGCTCCTCGACGAATTTGCCATTAAACTCTCGCCCCATCGCAGCTTTTCCTTCAAGAACAACCCGAAACTCTACACACCGACAAAGCCAACGGTAAAATACGAGTTCTTAAACGTAATTTACGACATTAAAAACGTTAATTACGAGGCTGCAAACGTATATTACGAGTTCCAATCAAATGTTAAATAAACAAAAAAATCTGAGGGTAACTTATCATTTCAAACTTATACTATGGAACTAAAAAGGTAAATTAGGAGATTTAATAAGTAAATTGCGATTCAGAAAGTGTAATACATGGTTTTAGTTTTGGAATTCCCGTTTTTAGTGTCGTAATTTACTCTATTAGAAATATCGTAAATGAAATGACAAAAAGTTGATTTTACAGTTAGTTTTTATCTGTGAATTATTATCAGTGTTCAATAAAAAAAAAGTCTTATCAGTAGAACAGTTGCCTGATTTATATTTTGAATTAGGACGAATTATTAGAGAACAAGTCATAACAACACTAATGATTTTCAATGAACAAAAAATGGTAAAAAGGATTCGGCAAACTGTACTAATAAAATTTTTGGGTGTTTCACTTTGTCTTGCTGTTTCATTTTGCTCCACTCTTCCCTAATCGGAATCTTAATATAATTTGCGGCTCCTCGATCAAATAAAAAAATCGCCAGTAGGAGTCGAATAATGTCCAACCTTGGAATCTCAAATGTAAATTGCCATGTCATGATCAATTTTATGATTCCATATTTTTTTTTATTTACAAATTTGTAAATTGAGTAATTTATAATACCACAAGAACTTCTAAATTATTGGATATTTCCCGGTAGGTTCGTTGCAAACAAATCTACGTGTCAATTTTACCAGGTTAAAAAATCACGGGTGCGAAGCGCGAGTGATTTTTCAGAAAAACTGGACAACTTCGTTTGTTTGCGGGGAACCTACAGGGAAATATCCGATTAATTTCGAAGCTCGCGTGGTATTCGGGGCATTATTTTTTCCAATGAAACACCGATCAATAGAATTGCGCCATGAGACTAAAGTAAGATAAGATCACCCGAAGAAAATTTCATAGCCAAAACAAGAATCCTTTAATCAATGCACAACCTAAATACAACTCTCAGTTTAGCAGATGGTTAACGTGAAGGAATGATCTTTTGTTATTTATAAATATAGTAACATGCAAATTATCAAAAAATTATCAGTTTGAAACCGTGTAGCTTGTACCACGTGAGGTCGAATGGCGCAATTCTACTGGTCGACGGTTGAATGGAAAAAATACTCGATATTATTTATTGGATAATCATCAGCGCATTCACGATTCCAAAGGTAAAAGAAGAACGTTTTATTAATGGAATCAATTTCCTATTAAAATAATTGAATTGAACTTGACATAAAAAATTTGTGAATTTTCAAAATAAAATATTGATTTTGAATACACATTATCCTACAAATAACTGGAGTACAATGAAAGTACCATTTATGAACAGGCTTAAATTTTAGTATTTAATCGGAAATGGAGTAATAGTTTGGAGAGAATCGTGTCTGCTCTGGCCGTAGTCGCAAAGATAACGGTTGTCTTCCTGCGTAAGTTTAGCGGCGACGAAGTACCTTTTTTGACAAGTTTTAAGAAAGTGGAGAAACAGGAATTCTAAAAAAAAACAATGAATAATTAAATTAATACGCTTGCAAATTTAATTTGGCATGACGCTCTTATTTATATGTAACTGTGACTTCACCAAATTTAAGCTCTGGACTTTAACTTAAGATTTCTGCATTTTTATTATTTGTTTTTTTTTTCTCTAATTATAAATATGCAATCGACAATCGACGAAAAATCTCAGAAAAATAAAAAATCGGGTTTTCGAAATACATACTTTTGTACAAATTGTTATGCCTAAAATTAAATTCTTGGGATTTTTAATTTTTGTTGTATATCCAGTGTAATAAATTGTATCGCTTTGGAAGAATGTGTTTTTCTTAACATCATCAAATTAAAGAAGAAAAGGCCCTCAACAGTCAACAAAACTGAAATTTCCAAAAATTGCAACAGCTAAGGGGCCAACCAATCAAAAAATCCTTCGAAATGTATTCGTAGGATTTGAAATAATAATATTTTTCGTAACAAGTACGGAAAAGTGATTTTTGGCGTGTCAGAGTTTTACACGAGTCGACAGCAAGTGCTATAATCCCATATGCCGAAAAGAACTTTCTGTACAAGTTGCGAACATCATTTTTCTTCGTAATGTGCGAAAAAGTCACTTAGACATTAGGCATGCGAAGCGAAAAGCTGAAAACTTACTATCCCAAAATAACTTTTCAGATGCGGTAACCGGCCGATTACACGGGGACGGCTCTTTGAGTGACTTAAGAGAAATCAAGGGCTTTCGTAGTTTTCGGTAGATGGCTGGCAACTGGGTTTTCATTTGCAAAAACGGTGATTCCTGGGAGGGGAAAAACCTTGACGTAATATTGGCCATTTAAAATGTGGTGTGTAGTGGGAGGTGTCGGGTGCGTTGGACTTTCGGACACTAAACATTGACAAATATCTCGATGTCAGCGATTTTGGATATTCTCACTTTACGAAATCGCTTTCTTTATCGATTTTCTATTTTGGAACCGAAAAACATAATAAATTCAATGGCTGAATCGGCACGATGATCGCCATGTCTCTCATTAGATGATAAAGATAAGGAAGATTTGAAAACCCCAACGATTTGATCATTTAAAAGGTATGACTTCCCGCCACATTATCGACTAATGAAACTGCGCAGATGCATGACGCAGCCGCCCCCGTGATGCCATCGAGAAGATTCAACGATTGGCCAAACTAGCTCTTGTAGAGTCCCCTCTACTCAATCCTGGCTTCGGACGAAACATACTGTAGATTGTTGTACGCCATCTTGAACATTACCCTCACCCACGTTTCACCTTGCCTCATCTATGAACTGTAAATTGTGCGACCCACCCAGCGAATGCAGAGGAGCACCATACCAGTAGTATCAACGCGGCGATCGTTAAGGCGACCCGATTCGCCGTATACTTCATACCCCAAATCAACCTTTTCAAAAATAAAGAAAATACGTATACACAGTTCACCCATCTAAACATTCCATTTGATTTTTATTCGTTCCTTATAGCTTACCGGTACAACTTTATTGTGCATCCCAGTGACTCTTTCAAATGCATATTTATTGACATTTTGCACGTACTGATAGGTTTCATTGAGAGAGAAACAATCAGAAGAAAAAAGTTTAGTGAATTAACGCCCACCAGAGTGAAAGGGCACCTCGGTGTCCCGCATTGGCCATTTTTTTAACAAGTATCATTGAGTGAAATTATTTTCATTTATATTGGGAATATGACAGGTGCAATGATGCTCGATGCATTACTATTCGTATTTGGAATGCTAGCGTGTCAAGCGCAGGTGAGTTGAACGTCTTGAATTTAGATAAATTCCATTTGAAAAATGCATGTACAGCGGGGAGACCGATTATTGATTAGAATTAAAAGGGATGGGTGTCGGAGAATTTTTGGCTGCGCCTCAGATTTTCCACCGAATAGAACAAAATATCATCAACTTTTCAGAGCTTTAAAATCAATAACTATCAGGTTGATATTTGAGTGCCGGGAGGAATCAAGTAGTGGATTATACAGAAGATGCAGTATTATACAGTAGCTTGTAGTGTTAAATTAAATTAAATTTTCGTTTTTTTTTTCAATTACGCTTTCAGTTTACGCTTGTTATGGAAAAATTGTATGGTTTTATCCCTTTGGTAATCTTATGAAGCAATTATTGATATGTATAGTTCAATTGTGGGGTTCGTTCTGCTGTGACGTTTCGGTCATCCATAACACACGATCTGCGCATAAGTGTTTAGAAAAGACTGGAGTTGCGTTTTACTACTCGATTGAACGATATAAGAAGTCAGAGAAAATTACGCATCTTCGGTAACGATTGACGTTCATCCTTCACTGCAGCCTTTTTTATTGGTTGCTTTTCAACTCCCAGATCACTCGTTTTCTCAATGATTTGGATTTCAAATTGGTTAGTTGAAGTGAAAGAGAATGAACGAAAAAATTCAATAGATTTTCTTAAACTAAATTCTTCATGTAAGAGTTTATCCTTTGAATCCTTCATTATCTAAGGCTTCTCTTCGAGGATTTTCCTTCCCTCGATCATCTCAGGTTAATCGATATTAAAATCATCCTCGGAATAATGGTCCTATGTGGGTCTTTAGAAAAGTTGCGAGAATGTCTCGAGAAGTGTGAAAGGATAAAACTTTCGAAAGCTTCTCCGATACCTCAATAGCCAACCCGGCTAGCTAAGCCCGTGATAATTAATCGCTTGAGAGTACTTCAGAACGGCATCAGTTACACATGCACAACTAGGAATTAGCGATTCGATAGGATTATGCCAGGAGCTTCGATGTGTATAAATGGGGTGCGAGAATCCTGAATATATAATTTTGTATTCGCACCACCGCGAGAAACACCTTTTAAAGCAGCATTCATAATTACTTACACTGATAGGAATTCTATCCAATAACAGATACGTTTGGGTTTTCAACAACATTCACTCGAATTGAGTTTGAGGCCGAATTGTTCATAAAATTCATCATTCATCGTGGAAACTCTATAAAAGCTTTCCATGATTAATAATCATTGAATTCAAATGGGAAGTTCGATTTTCAAATCTATCTTCAATATTGAGCACTAAATTCAATTTATTTTTGAACAGATTGGAAATTCAGAAGAAAAGCCTCTAAAAAGTACAGTAACTATGCAGAGAAAACAATAAATTATCAGAAGAACCTTTGCCTGAATTTTCACGTTTATCAAACATTTTCATTGTTGTATCACCTCGGAAAATTAGGCTTATAACTTCTTCTCTTTGTGTGTCTCCACAAAGGTAAACTTTGATCGTGGAAACTCTAGAAATACAAAACTACACGTCGTGAACCAATTTTGTATTTCTGTCAATGATTTAAGGACGTACTACCCGTTTCATCCAATTCATGAAGTTCAGAAAATAATAAAGTTATTATCTTTGTG